CGCCTCAGGGCCCGGCCCCCGCCGAGCCCCGCCCCAGGGACCGGCTCTCCGGCCCGGCAGCTAACGGCTCCGCAGGAGAGGGACCCCGAGAGCCCCGGTCGCCACCGCGCCTGAGGCGGTGCGGCGCCACGCGGGGGGCACTACAGCTCCCAGAAGGCAACGCGCAAACCGGAAGTTTCGTTCGCGGGAGCGAGGCCTGCTGGGAGTCGAAGTCGCTCCGCTTGGGGGAGCCCAGAGAGAGCGAGTCGGGAATCTCCTGGGAAGTGTCTGACTCTCGCGATATCTGCGCCGCCGGACCAGGTGTCGCGAGAGGAGCCTGGGAGGGTGTCTCCGGTGGCCGGCACGTGTTTTGTCCGGTCACTGCGTCGCCGCCGCACCCGGGATCGCTCTGCCGGGGCTCAGGGTCTGGCCGGCGCCTTGCCCGGGTCCGCTGCCTGTGAGGAGCCGAGCGCCTGAGAGTGCGTGAGCCATGGGGAAGGCCAAGTCGGCACGGAAGGCCCCCGGCCCCAAGCCCAAGCCCAACCCCTTCGAAGTGAAAGTCAACCGGCAGAAGTTCCAGGTCCTGGGCAGGAAGACTCGCCACGACGTGGGGCAACCCGGCGTGTCCCGTGCGCGGGCCATCAAGAAGGTGAGCGGGGCGGCTGCGGGAGTGTGCGCCCGCCCGCCCTCCCAGAGATGCCCTTCTCACCCCACCCCCGGCCCGGGACCGTTCTGCCACTTTCCTCCCCGCCGGCTCAGGACGTCCCACCCTGCGCCCGCCCAGTTGCCAGGAGCCCTCCCACTGCGTTCAGGGCCCATCCTGCTCCCGCGCCGCACGCTCGGCCTTCCTTAGTGGTCCTCTGGGGCACCTGCCTGCACGGGCTCCAGCGCCTAGGGCACTGGGACGGTGCCGAGCTGCTTCTGATGGCTCCGGTGCCAGACTCTAGCCTAGCCTTTAGGGAACCCACCGCACCCACTAGCCTGCCTGTCGTGGTTGCAAAGTGTGCCAGGCTCATGACTCCGGGCCCTGTAGATGGGATTGGTGTGATCCCACCCAAAGGCTGATAATTGGAAGTAGGTTGCCAGTCAAAAAGCTCCTCTGACCCTTAGCAGCATAAAAAACCCCACTGGCAGGTGGGTGGCGGCTGTGATGCAGGGGCCCTGGCCAGGAATGGCATTCTCTGTAAAGATGACAACTGTGGAAAACCTAGTGGTAGCTCTGCCCCGTCCGCTGTGAGTCAGAAACAAAGGGGGCCCCCGTGCTGGTGTGCCCAATACAGGGAACCAGGAAGGCTGGACTGCAAATTGGCTGTGCTCTGTGTTTGTTTTTTCAGCGCACCCAGACATTGCTAAAGGAGTACAAGGAGCGGGATAAGTCCAACATTTTCAAAGACAAACGCTTTGGGGAGTACAACAGCAGCATGAGCTCTGAGGAAAAGATGCTGAAGAGGTTCGCACTGGAGCAGCAGGTATGAGGACCGCAGGGGCCGGGACTTCTGCAGCTCCAGACACCTGCACCAGGTGTGCTCCTCGCCATCCTCCCTCTTGGGCTCACACCCACCAGGTATGGGGCCGGGGCAGCGCCTCCACTCCTCACCTGGTTTGGCAAACAGAAGCCAGGTGTGAGTAAGTTGTGGTGAGGTCCCCTGAAGTCGGCTACAACCACAGCGACCCCGTGCCCAACAGAATATGACACCGCCGGTCCCGCGCCGTCCTCACAGTGGCTCCTACGCCTGAGCCCATGGTGGCAGCCACGGCATCCATCCGTCTCCTCAAGGGCCCCTCCACTTTACCAAGCTTGATGTCTCTCTTCAGGGACTGACTGGTCTCTCCTGACAACACACCCAAAGTGTGCAACATGAAGCTTGCCATCCTTACCTCTAAGGAGCACTCTGGCCATACTTCTTGCAAGACAGATTAGTTTGTCCTTTTAGCAGTCTGTGGTACTTTCAATATTCATCTCCAACACCACAATTCAAATGCATTGATTGTTCTACCGTCTTCCTTATTCAGTGTCCAACTGTCACATGCTTATACCATATGTGCTTGAGTATAAGCTGACCTGAATATCAACCGAGGCACCTAATTTCACCACAAAAACTACATTAAAACATGTGCTGGAAAGACTCGGCTTACACATGAGTGTACACGGAAATGCAGTGGAGAATGCCGTGGCTGGTCAGGCGGCGTGCCTTTGCTCTTCAACACTCTGCAGAGTTACCTCATGCTGTATGTTTCTTATCTCCTGACTGCTGCTTCCACGAGCATTGATTGTGGATCCAAGCAAGACAAAATCCTTGACAGCTTCAGCCTTTTCTCCACTGATCATGATGTGAGCTATTGGTCCACTGCAATCCTTGTCTGCAGTCCTTGATCTTCAGCAAATGCTTCAAGTCCTCGCTGTCAGCAGCTTGTTAACGAGCCTCCCTCCAGTCCTGATGCCCCACTCTTCACGTAATCCTGCTCCTCTGATGGCTTGGGTGGAAGCATATCTTTTGTTTGAAGCTTCACCGGCATCTAACTCACACACCACACACACCATTGAGTGGTGTGCACGTAGATTGAAAAGAGTTGTGCAGTCATCACCACAGATTCCAGAACATTCTCTTTCCTGCGCCCCCAGCCCAGCTAGATGCAGCCGCAGTGGCAGTGGGTGTGGCCCCGCTGGGTGTGAGGGGGACTGTGCCTGGCTTGCTGGTTTCTGTGGACATGTGGCTGCCAATCCTCTTGGGCTCCGTGTCCAGAGCCCACAAGTAGTGGGAGAACCACGGAGGGCAGGGGGTGGGGGAGATCAGGAAACTGACTTTGTTTTTTGTTGTCCTTCCGTCTGTCAGCGCCAGCACGATAAGAAAAGCATCTACAACCTGAACGAGGACGAGGAGCTGACCCATTACGGTCAATCCCTGGCGGACATCGAGAAGCTGCACGACATCGTGGACAGCGACAGTGACACTGAGGAGCGCGGCATGCTGTCAGGTGAGGCCGGCAGAGCCGCTGCTGCGGGGCCCGTGAGGACCCATCCGTGGGCCCTCGCTGAGCTCTGCTTCCCGCTCTCCTTGGAGACTGGGTCAGTAGCCCTGCCGACCCTTCCCTTGTCTGGAGCGTGCCTGAGGGGGGTGCCGGCAGGTGGGGGGGCTGTTCCTGTTCCACCGTGCAGAGAAAGGCTGGTGGTGTTCGAGCCCACCCTGGGCACCCTTGGAGAAAGGCCTGGTGCCCTCTACTTCCAGACGCTCAGCCACTGGGGCCCATGGGAGCTGCTCGCCCTGCCCAGCACACATGGGTGCCAGACCAGAGGCGACTCCTGTCGATGGCGTGGCAGCCCGCCTCCATCTGAAGGTGGCATGTCCACAGTGCTGGGTTTCTGCCCTCTGTCCTGCAATCCTTGTCTGCAGTCCTTGATCTTCAGCAAATGCTTCAAGTCCTCGCTGTCAGCAGCTTGTTAACGAGCCTCCCTCCAGTCCTGATGCCCCACTCTTCACGTAATCCTGCTCCTCTGATGGCTTGGGTGGAAGCATATCTTTTGTTTGAAGCTTCACCGGCATCTAACTCACACACCACACACACCATTGAGTGGTGTGTAGAGCAGACGGGCCACAGATGTCCTAGGGGCTTCAGGCTCTGGTTGGGTTGAACTCGGCTCTAAGCCTGCCGCCTGATGGATGGAGTGAGTTTCAGTAGCTCAGCAGGCTTCCTGAGGGCGTGCTCTGTTGTGTCCCCGCCTCCCTCGTGAAGCGTACGCTATCGCCGATCTGCCACCCTCTGGCCCGTGTCTTCCCCTTCCCCACCTCCTCCCGGCCCGGTAAACACTGGTCTGTCTCTTGGGGTACGAAAACCTTTTCTTGCTCTCTGTACTTTTGGTCTCGGCCCACATTCAGCCTTTTGTGTCCGACTGACTTCACTCAGCATACCACCCTCCGCACCCTCCGCGTCAGTCCCGAGCCTAGCGTTGCGGGTGCGCGTGTGCTAGCCTTCCTGCCAGAGCTTGGGCTCCCGCTGACTCAGCTGCGCTGATCACGCTGCAAGGACAGTGGAAATGTGTTTGCCCCGTGTCCCCGGCCTGCAGCAGTGTCTCTGCCTGGGTTAGAGGCCCCGTGCACGGGGTCTCATGAACATCTCTGGTGAGTCCACGCTTGGACGCAGTATCGGTCAAACGTGGCTTAAGGTACCCCTTCTGTCTGTCTGTCTGCAGCCGAGCTGACGGCGGCCCATTTTGGAGGGGGCGGCGGGCTCCTTAACAAGACGACGTCCCGGGGAGGTGAGGAGAGGGACCAGGCGAAGTCCCGCCGAGAGCTGATCGAGGAGCTCATCGCCCGGTCGAAGCAGGAGAAGGTGGGCTGCGTATTCTCCTGGCTGCTGAGCGGCGCTCCCCCTCCCCCAGCATCACCCTGGCGCTTGTATTTGGAGTGTTTTCCTCGTTAACCGTGGAGCTCTAGCGTTGGGGGTGGTTGGAGTCAGGGTGTTGTGATGGGCATCCGGATTCTCCCCGATTTAGAGCTGACAGCCAGGACCGCCTGGCCAAGTCCCTGGTGGCAGGAGTTCCCTCTATTGTTGGCTCTGTGGACACTGCACCACTCCTGGTGTTTCGGGCCTGGTAGTGGCAGGCCGCTCGGGACTGCCAGGGGTGACGGTGTCCCTCTGCTTTCCCAGAGGGAGCGGCAGGCGCAGCGTGAGGACGCGCTGGAGCTCACGGACAAGCTGGACCAGGACTGGAAAGGTGTCCAGACCCTCCTGTCACACAGGAAGCCCAGGGCGGAGGACAGGGAGCAGCCGCAGAAACCCCAGGTGGGTGCCCCTCTGGCCCTGCAGTCCTGGCTCGACCTCAGGCGTTCTCTGCCCTCACGTTCCTCGGTTAAGCATTTGGCTGCTAACCAGAGTCAGCAGTTCAAATCTACCGCCGGCTGCACAGCCGGACGACGGACTACCCACTGCCGTAAAGACGGCAGCCTGGGAAGTGAAGGAGGCGGGGATTGATGCGGGGGCTGCGGGATGGGACGGTTGACGCAAGCTGACTGATTGTCCCACAGCCTTCTGGGTGCACGGACGCAGCCCCTGGCAGAGAGCAGCCACCGAGCACCCACGGCTTTGCAAGCGGCCCCCATGTGGCCATGGCCACGCGCGTCGGGCCAGGGCTTAGCCCCTGTGGGTTGAGTCTGTGGGAGCAGGTTCTGGAGCCGGAAGCCTGTGTGACCGTCGGCTGGCCGCTGACCTCTGGGTCTTCAAGGCTCCTCCGAGCGGCTCTCCAGGGGGAAGGCGAGTGGCTGGCTGGCTTCCTCTGTGGCTGCATCTAGCGAGGATGGACCAGGAGGCCACCGGCACAGATGGGAACCCAGAGGGCACTGAGCCCACCCCCACCATGCCCCCTGCCCAGGCCGACACCTACGACATGGCGGTGCGGGAGCTCGGCTTCGACATGAAGGCCCAGCCCTCGGACAGAATGAAGAGCGAGGAGGAGCTGGCCCGGGATGAGCAGCAGCGGCTCAGGAGGCTAGAGGTTTGGGGGAAGGGCGCTCGTGCCCTGCGTGTCTGTCCACCCACCCACGGGCACGTGCAGGGAGCCTGTGTGTGTGTGTGTGTGTGTGTGTGTGTGTCCGTCCTCGTCTGTGTGCAAGTTAAGAAGGGGAAAGTGCAAAGTGTAAACCATGAAGACGCCCCGCTGCCCCCAGGGGTCGGCCTGTGCAGCAGCACGCAGGTCAGGAACCCTGGGCGGGGGCAGTGGGTGAGAGCACTGGGGCCCCAGGTTCTGTTCCCGAGGCAGGTGTGCTTTTGTCAGCGGTAGTGGCTTTTGTACCTGCTTACGGTTTGTGACTATTCACATACACCTACCCACACACACACACCCACACGCACACACACACGCATCCCTTACAAAAGCAAAGAGCAGATAACGTCCAGCTAACACCCTCACCGACCCACGGTTTTCAAAATCTCTGACCCCAAACAGCTGTCAGTAAGACCCCGTGTTACCGTCTCTGCTGTTAAGAAAAGCACGTGGTTCAGAGGCTTTTCGTGAACACAGCGCTGCTCTGCTGTGCCAGTTCTGGCTGCTCCTGTGAAGAAAGGAAGCGTGGGGGGGGGGCGGCAGCCTGTTTCCTTCCCATGGGCCGAGGGCCCCAGTCACGCAGGCCCCTCCCTCGGTCGGCTCAGGCTGACCGGCTTCGCAGGATGCTGGGGGAGGAAGGACAGCGCGAGCGACCGAAGCACATGTCGGCAGACGACCTGAGCGACGGCTTCATCCTGGACAAGGACGACCGGCGTCTGCTCTCCTACAAGGTAGGCGGGGAGGAGGCTGCTTGGGGCTCTGCACAGGTGGGAATTGAGAGGGGGTGTCTGGACAGTGGTTTAAGGCCTGGAGCTGGCGGGGCGGGAGCCCCTCGGGCATCTACCCTGCTGGCTGGGCCTCAGTGTGGCAAGATGGGGGAGGGCTGGGTCGTGAACTCGCAGCTCTGGTGCACTGGTGCTGCCAGGTGCTGCCTCGGGGTTGGAGGCCCCTTCTTCAGGTTTCAGCTCCGAGCAATGGCCTGCAGACCGGCCTGGGTTCTGGTAGCTTCAGGCGGTGGCCTGTGGCTCAGCAGGTGGCAGTGGGGACCAGGCCTGTGGTTTGAGGCAGCCAGGAGGGCAGCCATCCAGGGCCGGCGATGCTAAGCTCCAAGCCCTTCCCTCCCAGGATGGGAAGATGAACGTGGATGAGGATGTCCAGGAAGAACAGGATGGGGGTGCCGGTGGCGGGGACAGTGAGGAGGAAGAGGAGCAGGAACAGGAGTCCAGCGGGGAGGACACAGAACAGAGCGATGGTGCAGATAGCCACTCAGACCTGGACTCCGACACAGACAGCGAGGGTGACCAAGAGGGCCTGGAGGGGGGACAGCTGCCGGCACCCAGGAAGAGATGTGGAGGCACAGACCCCCAGGCCCAGGCCGCTGCCCGTGCTGAACTGCCCTACACGTTTGCAGGTAGGTGAGACCTCTTCTGGCCAGAAGGCCAGGCGAGGAGTTGGCACACGTGCAGACAGACAGGTCTGATAGTCACTTTAGCCAGTGTCCCGTGTGTCGGCCCTCGGGGAGCTGTCCCTGTGAAGGACAGTGTGGTGGTCGCTTCTTCCCGGGGGGCTCGGGTTGCAGAGGACCGGGTCGGTCGGTCGGTCGGTCCAGCAGGCAGCTGCCGCCCTGCGCCTGAGTGGCCCTGGCTGTGTTGCAGCTCCTGAGTCCTGCGAGGCCCTGCGGTCGCTGCTGGGGGGGCGGCCTGCCGACGAGCAGCTGCTGGTGGTGGAGCGGATTCAGAAGTGCAACCACCCAAGCCTAGCGGCGGGCAACAAGGCCAAGATGGAGGTGAGCAGGAGGGGCCCCGGGTGCGGGCAGCAAGGTGTCGCGCTGCCGCTGCCGGCCAGCTGCCCGAGCTGTGCGCCCTCCCTGCCCCCACAGAAGCTGTTTGGCTTCCTCTTGGAATACGTCGGGGCCTTGGCCACGCGAGACCTGCCGGACCTCAGTGTGATTGACAAGCTGGTCCCGTGAGTGTCCGGAGGCGGGGGTGTGTTCTGCCCAATTCGAGTCACGAGAACAGGCGGGCTGGGGAGACTGGCAGGTGTTGGGGTGGGGGCCGTGGGCCTGAGCTCCGGCCTGGTCGAGGTCTGAGGACTGGCCGTGCCGAGCTCAGCCACACCCGCTGCCCTGGGCCGAGAGACGGAGCCGTTTCTAGAGCACGCCAGCTGTAGACGGCTGACTGGGCTGGTGTGCAGCATAGGCGGGCTGGCTCCTGTCCCCAGAAGCGTTCACAAGGCTGCGGGTGGGGCTGGCCCGTGCCACGAGCTCCTGGCTTCCAGGGCTGCCAGGAGGATGTCTGAGGGAGGCCAGCCCAGCCCACCCCCCTCTCCGATGTCACTGACCACAGGCAGCTGTACAACCTCTGCCAGCTGTTCCCTGGGGCCGCGAGCGAGGCCGTGAGGTTCGTGCTCCGAGACGCCATGCACGACATGGAGGAGGCGCTGGACGCCAAGGGCCGCGCTGCCTTCCCGGGCCTCGACATGGTGCGTCACGCTGTGGCTGGGTGGGGTGTGGTGTCCCCGGGGCTACCCACTGTGGATGTCAGCTGTGTGTGGGTGTAGAGAAGAGGGCATGCCCGACAGTGGGTGGGCATGGCTCCACACTCCTGGTGCTGGCTGGTCTCCAGGGCAGCGGCCCAGCCTCTGAGACACAGGTGCGGTCCGTTCTCTGAGAGGCGGGTGCAGGGCAGCCCTGCCGCTGCTCCTTCCCAGGGCTCCCACTCAGAGACCCCCTGAGTCTGTTAAAGCACGAGCTGCTGTGGGTGCCTCTTACTCGGAGACTCAGTGACCCTATAGGACAGTGTAGGACTTCCCCCGAGGCCACGAGCCATTACTAAGGTGACCAGATTTTAACATTGGTAAAGCAGACAAAAGCGGGACACCATTGATAAAACTCATCTCCTGGCGAAATAGCCACAGACGAAAACCATATACCCGAGCTTGTCGTGCATTCTTTCCAAAAATCGGGACTTATTTAAAACCTCATGGGACACGGGAAAAATTGTTAAAAGTCGGGACGTCTGGTCACCTTAAGCATTACAGAAGTGCCCTGTGGGCCCACCCTGCTGCTGGGCAGGTGAGTAGCAGGCCTTCCTTGTTGCCCCAGGCAGGTGTGTTCCTCCTCATGGGGTCACTGCTGCCCCCGTGTCTGATGCCCCTTCCCTTTCAGCTCATTGTCTTGAAGATTGCGGGGTTGCTTTTCCCGACCTCTGACTTCTGGCACCCGGTGGTGACCCCCGCGATGGTGTGTATGAGCCAGCTGCTCACCAAGGTCAGTCCCATGGGCCCTGCCGGCCCCTGGCTCTGGTGGGCGGGGCATCCATCAGCAGTGTCCTCTGGGGAATCTGTCAGCACCTTGAGATTGTGGCTGGCGTGGAGCTGCCCAGAGGGCCCGGGCTCTCATCCACCTGGGCACAGTCATCCTCCCCTGGGCGGGGACGGCGGCCGGGCATGTGCTGGTCCTGTCTGGGCGTTGGGCTGCCCGACTGAGGCATGGCCGTGCGTGTGCCTGCAGTGCCCCGTGCTCTCCCTCCGGGACGTGGTGAAGGGGCTGTTCGTGTGCTGCCTCTTCCTGGACTTCATGTCCCTGTCCCAGCGGTTCGTGCCCGAGCTTGTCAACTTCCTGCTCGGCCTCCTGCACGTCGCTGCTCCCGACAAGCCAGCGCTGGGTGAGCAGAAGCATCTCGGCAATAAAGGGTGGCCTCCTTTCTGAAGGGGGTGGTGGTGGTGGCACACAGCCCGCTCTGCCGTGGGCTTCCTGCAGAGCCGTCCGGAGGCCCCCTCGGGAGTGCCAATGTGAAGGGAGGTGTGGCCCTCGCCCTCTGTCCTGGACACACAGCTCTCCCAGACCTGGAATGCAGCCTGGGTGTACGGACCCCAGGGCCCATCTTGCTGGGCGCCCCGGGTGGGTTACTCACAGATGTCCCCGTCCTTATCACCTGGCGTCCAGGTTACACCCTAGTGCACCCTTTCCGAGCCCTTGGGAAGCACTCCGAGCTGCTCCTGGTCTCCAACAGAGAGGACGGGGCCACGTGGCAGCAGAGAGGCCTGCCCCTGCGCTGGGCCAACGGCCTGCCAGCCCACACAGAGACAGAAGCCAACCATGCCAGGTGAGGGGCTTAGAGCCGTGGCCAGCGGGGGCTCTGGGCTCCTTGCGTGGGGGTCATGCAGGGTTCCAAGCCTTTCTGAGAGGAGCTGCTGGGTTTTTCAGTGGGGGCAGTGGGGGAAGGACGTGCACACAGGGAGGCTCCGTCTTTGTGAGTGGGGCTGTAGGCTGTCTGCACAGTCAGCTGACGGCCCAGGCTGCGTTCCCAGCCAGTCTCCGCCCACTGCTGTGGGGCTGCGGGAGGCTGAGGCCAGGTCAGTGGGGTTCTGTGTGGCTGAAATGTCGAGGGGACAGCCTGGCCCTCCCTCCCGCCTCAGGCTGTCCTGCGTGGCCGTGGCCCTGGCCCTGGTGGACCGCTGTGTGATGCTGTACAGCGCCCTGCCTGCCTTCCAGGACATCATGCAGCCCCTGCGAGTGGTGCTTACCGAGCACCTAGACCTCAGCCACCCCCAGGTCCTGCAGGTGAGGCTTGGGTGCTGGCCAGGCCACAGAGGCATGGGGACAGCAAGCAGGCCGCCGCCTCCCCCGTGTACAGTGGGGCTGGTGGGCTGCACTCAGAGCTCAGCCCACCCAAGGCCAGGCTGTCCAGCAGCCTGCTCTCGGCCCCATGGTCGCCTGGCCAGTGTTCGCTGATGGGCTCCGGGCCCTGACCGCTTGGGGCTGGCTCAGTCATCCGGAGACTCGGAAGCATCTGGAAAAGCTGGGGACATGCTGCTGCGAGGGGTGGAGGCGGTCCTGAAGGCTCCCCGGGAGGGGTCTGCCTCACTTGCTGTTACGCCACCCCTCTCCAGGAGATGTGTCGCAGCACCCTGGCCAGGATGGGGGCCCAGGGGCAGCGCTGCCGGCCCCTGGTCTGTGAGAAGAGCAAGCCAGTGCCGCTGAAGCTGTTCACCCCGAGGCTGGTCAAAGTGTAAGTGCCGCCAGCCGGGGGCATGTGGGGACGGCTCCTCCGCTGACC